TAGGTACTGTTTCCCTCGCCGTGGATAATTGCAAACAAACCTCTAGAGGGGTGGTAAAACGGTAACCTCTGGGAGGGAGGGGAGGTGAAAATCCTCTGGGGGGTTGGGTAATGTTTTCCCCGCCGTGGATTATTACAAAGAACAACCTCGAGAGGGACGGCCAGAGAACTTCCCGTGAGTAAGTGGGGGACAATTAGTGTCCAGGAGGATGTGGCGATGCGTCTCTTCCAGGAGAGAGGCTGCTGGGAACAACGCACGTGATGGTGTTCACGTTCACGTGTTGTCCCTCTCCAAAAATGCCCTCGTTACTTAAGGGCAACACCCACAAGGTAGGTGAGCACAGAAAGCAATAATACATGGCGTAAGGAAGTGCCACAGCCGTTGATATTGAACCAGGTCTAGTACTTCCTTTTCTCTTTCCCAAATCACGAAACACTTAACGACTCTCCACGGAATCCCAGCAACGAAATACAAGACGAAATTCATGACAACGACGAAGGAAAAGGGCTACCTATATACGTAGGAGCTTAATAGAACTGCTATCAACAAAAACGAAAATATCCAATTTTAAAATATCTACACCAGAGGGTACAGAGCACTATACTTGGCTGTGCTCACACCGCCCAACATTGTATCGCTAAGTTTTCCCGCACCGGAAAAGTACCGAAAAGAGCGAGAGCGACGAAGAAAAAGGACTGATGAAACTCCCCTACACCAGCAGCGCAAAGTGCTACTTTGCTGCTATTTTGCACGACCAGCATTCCTGACATCGCCACGCTGCAAGACAACCCGCGCCAACTGTAAAAGACGAGCTGCAACTGCTGTGTGTGCATGATATTAGTACACGGCGTTGCTGAAAACATCACTAGTATACACGTACAGGCATAATGCTGTGCCTGAAAAGCTGTGCGACTAAAGAAAAAACACCATCCATGGGCTCATGGGCTGGACGAACCCAACCTATTTTGGTCACTATGTCTCGCGCTGTGATAGGGAAGATGACCCCGAAAAATACTTGTACGACTTCCCGCATACTTAGTCAGCCTTACGAACACCACTACCGGATGCCCCTCCTTCATCCGTCATTTCTTTGTTGGTGCGTTCGGAGAGGACTGCATCCTCGTCAGCACCACGCTGCTCGCCCGCCTCGACGTTACCGCGGTTGGTGCCGCGGTCGCCGCCCGAGCCATCGCCTCCCAAGCCATTGCCGTCTTCTTCGCCGTCAATTTCGTTGCCGTCGTCGTCGAAGCCCGGACCGTTGGTGGGGTCTGTGTGTACCGAAGATTTGGGGAAGGGGGGTAGACGAACGGGAGCCAGCGCGGAACAAAACGGTTACCAAGAGGAAGATAGAATTTTGATGAAGTGGTGTTAGAGGATAGGGCACTTTGCTAGCACCATATTGACTTCGCTGCTGGCGATCGCACTCAAGCACGCGGGGACAAGAACTACCGGCTTGGTGCGGTTAATGGATGCATTCGAGATTCAAAAATTTGTG